AGTAGGTTCAATACCAGAATCCTCTCTGAATGGTCTTTCTTGTGCCAACATGCCATGCACTTTCCCTTATGGTGGAACTACGAGAAGAACCTCTAATCTGATCTCAGTACATGAGCAGGTTGACAGAAAGGTGATCCTTCAGGAATTTGGGTTTTAAGGTAAAAGGCTTTATTATATGGCAAGGTTAACATGTTGAATTAGTTTAGAGAAGAAAAGACTGAGAGGAGAAGAAAAGATCTCTTAAGGGTTGTCATGTGGACGATGGAGCAAGCTGCTCCAGAGGGTAGGACCTGATGCAATGGATTCAAATTACAACAAAGGAGATTCTGGCTAAACACTAGGAAGAACTTTCTGATGTTAAGACCTGTTTAGCAGTAGAATGGACTACCTATGAAGGACTCTGCTTCCTTGGAGGTTTTTAAGCAGAGATTGGATGGCTACCTGTCAGGAATTCTTTAGCTGTGATTGCAGGGGTTTGGACGACCCTTGGGGTTCCTTCCAAGTCTCTGAATTAGGATCAGAAGCATATAGACAACTAGTACAGGTTCTTTAGGACTTACATTCTATGGTCCTGCCTATTGGTAGTAGTCAGCAGTCTTACAGCTGCATTCTGGACTAGTTGGCAGCTTCTGGACAATCTTCAAGGGTAGCCTTACATAGAGCACATCACAGTCCTCCAGTCAGGAGGCTATTAAGAGTGAGGATTACTATCTAGGAACAGCCAAAGCTAATAGTAGGCACTCCTTACACAAAGGTCACTCAGGCTTCCAGTTAAAAGAGTTGGCTCCAGGAGCACCTCTAGACTACAAATCTGTTCTTTCAAGTTAGGTGCGACTCTATCCAGAACATGCCATCTATTTAATTCCTGGACCAGAGAACTACCAATCCACATCACTCTGTTATGCAGGATAGATTAGGCTGGTCTTCATCTTCCTGTCTCCATGCAGTGTGGGCATCATAGGAATTCAGGAAGCTGTCTTCTAGCAAGTCAGATCATTGGTCCATCCAGCTCAGTATTGCCTACACTGACCGGCAGCAGCTCTTCTGGGTTTCAGACAGAAGATCTTCCCCAGCCGTTTTTCAGTCCATAGGCAGTATCCTCCACAAGCGTAGCATTGGGGAAAGTCTGTCTCTCCTGAGCCTTGTAACGATAAGGCTTCCCCACTCAGCTGGTCATTCATGAATAAAAATTAAAACACTTAAAAATACACACATTTGAATGTTTCCCTCTCCCTCTTTCACCCTGCCGTGACAAGGGGAGGATTTTATGTTGTCACATGACTGGCTTCAGGCTGTCCTGAAATGCCCTGGATTAGCCCAGTCACATTTGCTGGTATTTTGACTTAGAGTATTGTATACCAGGTTGAACAGATGTTTAACCAGTTACTTCCAAGGCGTGACAGCAACATTATTAAATGCTGAGCTGTTGAAACGGTTGGGAAGAAGTTTGGTTGCCCTACTAAAATCTCACGGGTAGTCATCTCACTGGGAAGAGGGGGAAGTTGGGACCTCCCACTAACTCAGGGATGTTCCAGGTCCCCTTTTAAAAGCAAAAAAACCAAAAAACTTCCAGGACTTGATCCCCTCCCTTAGCATCTTCAGTGCTGATTGCTCCCTTAAGGCCACTGTAATTGTCTCTGCTGCGCCCATTGTGCAGCTGGGCTCACCAGGAACAGTGCTGAGGTACCAGTGACAGATCCAACAGCAGACAGTAAGTCTGGTCACACACCAGTCTGGTGGGCAGATGGGAGCACAGCTGGCATGCATGAGCCCAATGAAGGGCAGGTACACGAAGCAGACTTAAATGGCCCTAAGCTTGGGGGGGGGACTATGGGTGGAAGAGGAAAGGTTGGGCTGAGAAACACAAGACTCACCACTAGGTTCTTTCCCAAGGGAGGAGCCCCTCACTCCCACTAACCCAGCCACCAGGGGTTCTTGACTTTAAGCCTTGTGGTGCCAAGGCTGAGGAGAGACTGCAGCTACCCAAAAGCCTCATAGTGTGAGACTTGAAGTACCCCCTCAGGAGCTCCAGTTTCCAGGTGAAGATTCCTAAGGAGTTAACAGCCACCATCTTTCTGCAGAGACAGACATTCAGACGGTCTCACAGTCACCACAAGGGGGAACAGAAACCCACCAATAGGGCAGCCTGCCTGGACCCTGAGGAGCCACCCTGCGGTTCCGTCACGTGGAAGGTTGCTGAACCAAGCCACAAAGTGGGAGGGATTTGGTGTGAAGACAGGGAAGCTGGAGCTGCGGGTGCCATGGACTTTTTAGGCAGGGGCAGCTATGTTGGTGCTTCGGTGAAGCTGCCAGTTTAATTTTTCTGTGCCCTTGAAGACTGGGGTGGGAAGGGACATTACAGATATTCAGGTAAATGGAAATGCAGCTGGTGGGGCTAAAGGGGCAGGATTCAGCGTCATCCACTGAGTGGGCGTTCCATCTAGTCAGGATTTGGTTAAAGAGTGCTTTACTTGTAGCAGTAGAGAAACTAATGGGTGATTTCAAATGAGATTTGCACAACCCTGAGCAATTTTGAAAATCCTCCTCCTTATTGGTTCTGATTAGTTTTCTGTGCTGTTCTTCAACTACCCATGTAAGTGCTTGTTAAGTTTTCCCTAAATGCCCAGGATTGGTGGTAATAAGAGGTTTTACAAGCATTTTCTGCTTAAGCCTTTTATAGCTGCCTGGCAGCTTGATAGGAAATTTCCCGTAGCTGTAAATGCAACATCATTAAAAGCTCATAATATAAAGGGTTATCATGAAATAAAAGGTGGTAGTAAATCTCTGCACTAAATCAAACTGTTGTGTGGCAGGCTTTGATCTTAGACGCCTGGCTGTTCTGGGCCCTAAATCAGCCTAGTTAGCATCAAGCATTTGTTGCTGGTTGTGTGTCATAGGCTGGCTCTTACAGTTCTCTTTGGCCAGAACTGTATGTCTGTGACCACAAAATGTGAAACATGAATTCATTGTGGCCGGTTTCCCCACTTGCCCCACTTCTCATTGACAGTCTCAGTGATTGGGAAGAGAGATGAGGAGATGTGGGCCTTCGCTCCTTTGCAGCAGCTGCACATCATTTCTCTATCCACTCAGGGTCTGATCCTGAGGGTCTTATACTGATCTGCAGATCAAATCAGGAAATGTCCTACAAGCGACATCTAGAAATTTGCAGTGTCTCCAGATTTTGTATTACCTGGCTTGGAACTTCAGTATTAGGAGGCCAGCAATCTGAGTCCTGAAAGTTCATCTTCAGTTTGGTTAAAAATCTTCACCAGGGAAGAATTTCAAGTTCTTCTTTCCTAACCCATTCACTCACTTTTCTTCCTCGATGCTCCAGGTGTGATGGAATGAAGGGAGGGAGTTCCTTCTAGCAAGTGGGATGTTGCCAATGGCTGCATGCCAGGCACTGGGAAATCTTGTCCCTTTCCCCATAAGCCCTTGCTGCCTCCTTCGTACCCCCTTTCATAATGTTGCCCAGACAAGGAAGGGCTGCAGCTATCATCCCAAGAGTGTAGAGCAGGCTTCCTCAAACTTGCCCCTCCAGGTGTTTTTGGCCTACAACTCCCATGATCTCTAGCTAGCAGGACCAGTCGTTGGGGAAGATGGGAGTTGTAGTCTCAAAACATCTGGAGGGCTGAGTTTGAGGAAGCCTGGTGTAGAGGCTATTAGCAGGTGTGTGGCTCCTTTGAATCTGAAGCAGGGTCAGAATTTTAAAGGGGTGCATTTATATACATTTTTGGACTTTATTTCTAAATTTATGTTTTTTAATCTGGCCCATTCCAAACGGGGCCAGGAACAGTCCACCCCTCATTTCTTCTCACAGTTCCTTTGGAGGGACCCAGAGGTGCAGCTGCTGGGAGACTTTCCATGAACTATGATTCACAGAAGCCAAGCAGCACAAATGGAAGACAGGTGCATGGCGAGTGGAAAGAGGGATGTCCCACTGGGGTCAAATGAATCACATGGCCAGCCTGTTTTGCTTCCAAGGCATCTCAGTGACTCTGAGTGTTTGCTGTTGCCTGGTGTGTATGTATAGAGCAATTTCCAAGAGCATTGCAAGTTGGGCAAAATCTATCAACAAAGTGCCAGTGACCCTTTGCTAAGTGGCAACCTGTTATGGGGAACCATAAAAAGCTGGTCAGGGAAATGGTCCAAAATGGGTGGTGGTGGTGTTTTAGGCTGCAAATATCTGACATAGGCAACTGCGAGCCAGTGGGCTAGTAATGTTAATGGCACTAGCAGATAACTTTTCTATCCAGCTGTTCACCACAAAACAATGTTAAATAATATTTAGGCTATCTGTACTATTTATGCTCTGGCAGTTGTGCATTGATTTCCCCACCCGTTAGGAATTTTCACGTTTTTGGCTACAGTTCTTCATAGTCTGAACCTCCACGTGCTTCCCAATTGTTTTCTCCCTCAAACCTGGAAAACCTGGGCAACTGCTTTTCAGTCCCCATGGTCCATCTACCAGTGAGAGGGTAAGAGAAAAGGATGTGGAGGCTGGGAAGAAAAACCCCCAACCCAACCAGACCCCAGGGGATTCTTGCTTGCACACTCTCTTCTTTTGAGGCCTCTGTTCTTGCCAGCCCCTGTGCCTGGAATACCAGAGTAGGCTCTCTAATGATGACCTCATTATGCGTGCCACTACTGAGCCCAAAATGCACTAATTTCCTGACCCGGTGAAATATATTTTAATAAGCTTGATCTAGAGCAGCATTTAAAGACAAAGGGAAACACTTAACGTGGCTGTCAAAATAAAGCACTCTTGGGCAGATGTTAAAAATGTTAATAGGATTAATCCATCAGAAGCACCCAGGAGAGCCTGCCCTGTTTGTATACCTCTATTTGGCATTTTAAAGCACAGGGTTAAACTATTTCTTTGGAGAGAGAAAGAGAGGGGGAAATGGATTAAATTTTGAGGTCGTGCAATTTTTCTTAAATTAGTTTATAGCTTGCTGTGCTGCCCAGTAATGCCTATATTTGATTCTATGGATTTTTAGTGCTTACCGTGGGATCTTCAATCAAACCCAGTTACCCAGGCAAGTTCATTACACTTAAAAGTTTTTAAACCACCTCTTCCTCCCCCCCCCCCGAACTTTTTAGTAGAATTCTGTCTCTCTTGATGGCAACGATGGACATCTCTGTTGTGCTTTTAATAATCTCTGTAAAACATTCCTGGCTTTGTGTACTTTTGTTTCAATGGGAAATGGAACAAATACTCACCAGGGCACTAGGAAGATTTGCGTTGACAGCATCCTTTTTTGGGTTGTGACCAAAGTGAGACTTGCCAAGGGGTGCATCTGTGACATACAGCTGCAGAACGCAACAAGAAGTTCCATCGTGTCACTCATGGTATTTAACATTTCATGAAATGGCTGGATGAGATCATCCAGACGTGCAGTGTCTGGAGTGCGGCGTCATCTGTAGATCAGTCATACCCAATTCTAACTCTCCCTTTCATCTGACCCTGGGAAGACACTGTGAATTCTAAATAGGGGCCTTAAGTCAGCCATGAATTAGATGAGTGTGAGCAAAATTTGAAAAGACACATGTATTGTTAGCTGGGAATCTGGCCGATGCTGGAGATATGTACCTTTATTGGAAAGTGTTGTACTTCCCCTAAAGCAGAGCTTCCAAACTTTTCATGTTGGTGACATGCTTTTTTAGATATGCATCATTTTGCAACATAGTAATTCCGTTTTACTAGCAAACTGGAGGTTAACCTAACCCCTTTCCAGCCCTGGGAGGAGCGTGGGGAGCGTTCGCACAACAGGCCTATACAAAGCACACTAATGTGTCACGACACACAGTTTGGAAAGCTTGCCCTAAAGACTGGTTTCCAGCTTATCTGTGATTTGGGTTTGGCAATGCTCTTTGATGAAGGAGCATAAGCTCACAGGTAGGAATATCTGCTTTGTGTGCAAAAGGTCCCAGGTTCAAACCCTGGCATCTCCAGGGAAGATTGGGAGAAACCCCACTCTAGTCCTGGAGAGCTGCTGCCAGTCAGTGTCAAAAATAGTGACTTGGTTGGACGCAATGGTCTGACTCAGTGTCAGCCATGTTCTTATGCCAGATGCCCCAGTAGTGACTTTGACCAATATTGAACTCTTTCCCAGAGAGGATTGACCTAGAGCCATGGTAATTCATGCTTTGGTGACATCCAGATTGGATTTGCAGCATTCTCAGTGTGGGGCTGCTCTTGAAGACTTATCAAATCTCCAAACTAGTTCAGTATTTAGCTCCCCATGTTGACTGGGGAAGGCCCCCGGAGATTGCATTATGCCAGTTTTGAAACAAGTCCATTAACTACTAGTTGGCTTTTTGGCTCAGTGGAAGGTGCTGGGTTTGAACTTTAAAACCCTAAACCAGGGGTGGGAAACCCCTTTTCAGCCCAGGGGCTGGATAAAGAACTGGTTCACCCTCCGCAAGCTATTTTTGACTGGGTTCAGGCTTGAGTATTCATTGATTGCCAAAATGCAGACCTTGCAGGCATCCTCTGACTCTCTAGTTTAACTTTGCCCCTCCTGGTGCCCATCAGTCCAAGCGAGCACAGCCATGTTGGCACAGGCTCATGGGATTTGTAGTCCAAAAACTTCTGGAGTACACCTAGTCCTGCTTTAGAGGCACCATGATCCAATGAGGATTTCATTTGTTTATTTACATTTCTGTACCACTCCATAGTGAAGCTCTTCCAGCAACATGTTTGTAGTCAAACCTGAGAAAATCAGATTTTGAATTGTAGCTCAGCTATGAATTCTCTGGAGAGTTTTGATCAAATTCATGCCTTCCTGACCTTTGTTTCCCTTCTCTACCATGTGAACAGCTACCTATCTCTGTAGATGATAGTTGGGATGGAAGAGGCAAGGGTTCTGTGTGTTAAAGCATAGCCACAGTCCTTGTGTTACATGGGTAACTTCTGTGGGGAGTGCATGCATCACATGCCATAGTTATTAGTTATAACTCTTGCAGTGGCAGTTTTAATATTACATCCGCAAAAATTTACAGCTCTTCTGGAGCTGTGTGGATTACTGATCTGGGGGAGAAAGAAACCAGCAGTGGTATTTCATGTTCACCCAAGGATTGTAAATCAATATACAAGTTTTTAAAGTAAATTGCTCATAATAATATTGCACCCCAGACATTTCCTGCTTTTGCCTTTTCCAAACGTAGCCTCAGCCTGGCCCAGTTAAAGGAATCATGAAAGAGAGTCTCTATTTGCAGGAACAGCTGGGAGCCTCTTAACTCTTTTTCCAGGCTGATCAAAGGGATTGGAAACTATGTTGGGGGGGGGGAAAGGTTATCAAAATTTCCTTTTGCTTTATTTCTCTATGTTCAACCTGAAGACAGTTGTTGAATTCTTGGCTTTACAATATTTTGACCTAGGTATTGTATGAATGTAACCACAGACTTGTATTTTGAAGACTACATATTCTGCAAAGGGAGGGGAAGTGCTTTTTAAAAGGATAAAATCAATGATACTGTTGGTGCTTTCCTCATCCTTGTGCATCTTCCTTTAGATGAACTTTTAGAACACTTTCCTGAGCATTGTCTCTTCTGGTTTCTTTTCATGTGGCACCTATGAAAGGCCTTCGGCTGTGAATTCAGTACATCACTTAGCTTAATTCCCTTCAAGCCTATTGGTCACTAAAGGGCAATCCGAACTAAGCCACAGACTTGGCACTTAAATTGGGCACGCGTAAAAATGATTTGCTCTTTCCATTTTTCCTCCTGAAGCCCAAGCCTGTCTGAATGAAACCTTTGTCATCACATTTAATCCCTGTTTGAGAACATAATGGCAAGGTAAGTTTTAATGCCATACAGGTGTTTTGCCTTTTTGGAGCCAGCAATCTAGTGCTTTTGTTCAGTCCCCTGTTTGTTGGGCTTTTAAAAGAATGGAATTATTAAATTGCCACTCCCTCAAACAAGCTGATAAAAAAGTGACCTCATAACACACCTAAAGGGGTGGTGGGCTTTCCTTCACTGGAGGTTTCCTAGAGGAGAGCTGTAGCTCTTGACCACCTTCCTCCAGCAGCAGATCAGATTAGATGACCTGTAAGAACCCCTTCAGCTCAAGAAACACCAGACACCACCCAGCCAAAGTTCAGCACAGTCAGTCTTGGTGGTTTCAATTGCATACTTGAGCATTTGTTTAAATCAGGGAGCCAATTAATTTGTTGTTGTTGTTTAGTCGTTTAGTTGTGTCCGACTCTTCGTGACCCCATGGACCAGAGCACGCCAGACATTCCTGTCTTCCCCTGCCTCCCGCAGTTTGGTCAAACTCTTGCTGGTAGCTTCGAGAACACTATCCAACCATCTCGTCCTCTGCCATCACCTTCTCCTCCATCTTTCCCAACATCAGGGTCTTTTCCAGGGAGTCTTCTCTTCTCATGAGGTGGCCAAAGTACTGGAGCCTCAGCTTCATGATCTGTCCTTCCAGTGAGCACTCAGGGCTGATTTCCTTCAAAATGGATAGGTTTGATCTTCTTGCAGTCCATGGGACTCTCAAGAGTCTCCTCCAGCACCATAATTCAAAAGTATCAATTCTACAGCGATCAGCCTTCTTTATGGTCCAGCTCTCACTTCCATACATCACTACTTATCACTGCCTTGCCGTGGCGAAGGGGCTTGAATAACTCAGAGAAGCTATGAACTATGCCATGCAGGGCACCCAAGATGGATAGGTCATAGTGGAGAGTTTTGACCAAACGTGATCCAGGAACTGGCAAGCCACTCCAGTATCCCTGCCAAGAAAACTCCATGGACAAAGACAACAGTCAATTAATAATGTTTTATTAAATAGTCCAAAAGAAGATTTTTTTTTACAGTTTTTCTTGAAAAGCAACAGCATACCACCAGGCAAGCATTACGCTGTTCCAAGTTCTTTTAAACCTGTCAAATTAAATGTGAGGTCAGAAGTGAATTAATAATGTTAATAATAATAATCTGTCCAAAAGACTGCTTGCCTTCCCCTCATGATGTTGTTTGTGCTGTGGAGAAAGCACTTGCTCGAACAGAGCCTCTCACCAAATTGGGGCCTAAGGGCTTCTTCGTCAAAACCAGATGTGTCCTTCTCCTCAACATGGCTGTTCAAGTAGTTAGGGAACCTATTGATGCAGGAAGCATGGGGGGGTAGAATATTATCTGTGAAAAATTGAACTCTAAATGCCGGCTTTAGCTCTCGCTGACAAATAAAGGCAGCATGAAATTGATCGGAATCCTGGGGGCTTTCTTGGGCAGCGCTGGAGCCCATTCAAAACATTAATTGTAAAATATTCGCTAATTGGAATGCCTAAATCCACTTTAGTGCTTTTGAATGGCTCTGGCGTCTTGTTTTTCTCCAGGCAATTAGAAGTGCAACACAGACAAAGGAGCTTGAGAGATCTGTTCAGCAGGGACAGGAGTGTCTGGGTCTTTGGATAACACACCAGGTTGCAATGGAGTCTCAGGTGTCCTCCTTCAAACTTTAATAAGCTGGCACAGCACAGGATCTGTAGGAGGGAAGTTCTTGATCAGTACTGGCTCTGCTCCCCATCCTTTGAGGGCCAGCCTTGAAGTGACAGCAGCAACATTTACACATGTCGTATCTGGGGGAGAGGTATATTTTCCTAGAAACAAGATGCTGTTTTTTGAGTGCTTGGAAATTGTGTCCCCCCAAAAAACCTTCTTATGTCCGATAGAGTGTAAAATCTGGTTGTGCCATGCTATGCGTTAGTATTCGGGTGGGAAACCCATAGCATACAGATGTTGGTTGATGTGGGATAGTGGCTTTTGAGTTTGTGGCAAATTTTTTACACAATTGTCCGAAAGACATATTGAAAAATAAAGTAGCATCTGAGTTTTTGAGTGCAGCATTTGAATTGATTTGAGAAGAACATCATGGTTCATAAAAGGAATGCGCTCAAGATGAGGTATGGCTGTAGGGCATGGGATTTTGGGGATAAAACTTAATTTTTGCAAATTTCTTCAGAGGCGTCTTTAAAATATGTTCTTGGGTGTGAGGAATTAAATCTGTTACTATTTTTGTGATTGGATAACATTTAGCTTGGTAGGTCTACATTTGTCAAATAAGCACATAAACTGCTTTCAATAATAATAATAATAATAATAATAATAATAATAATAATATCTAACTGCAAGTACTTTGCAATCATTTTTAATGATTTCTGTGCAGTTTTACACACATTTTACTTACCAAGTGGAATTTGAAAGTTGAAAAATTCAACACGCCCTAGTACGGCAGCCTGTGCCCCTGGATCCATTGGGTTAGGGAAGGGAATGTAGCTCAAACCAAATTGTGTCCTTTCTTGCTGTAGGCCCCAGCCTTTCCTGATGACTCCAGTCATAACATTCTTAATTTTATTGAAAGGAACACCTGAAATCATGCTGAGGGTGGCCTACAAGGCTTCTTCCCCAAGTAAAGGCAAGAAGCCAGACTTGGGAAAACATTTGACTACCACCCTCAAGCCTGATCTCCGAACTATATCTCTGATTTATATTCCTCCAGCCTGTGCCGCAAGAGGAGCAACATGGTGCTATAACTCCCATCAACCCTACCCAGCATGGTCCAATGGCCAGGGATTTATTTATGGTTTCAAATGTACAATGTCTTCCCAAGGTGAACCCAGGGCGGTTCACAATGATAGCATTTACCATTTGAAAGATAACTTTAATGTATTGCAAACTGTGGTATAAAAACTCCATAAAGCTATTAGCCAAAAACCTGGATTAACACTGACAATTATAATGAAAGTCTTCTATGTGTTTCTGAATGCAGAAAACGCCTTAGGGTGATCCATAGCTGGGGTGCCCCCACTAAGAGTGCCTTATCTTGTGTCCTTGTCCCTCATGCTATTCCTATTGATGAGACCACAAGCAGGACACCCCCCCCCCCGGTTGAAAATTTTGAAATGGATGGTACTTTGGTCCCAGGTCATTTAGAGCTTTGTACCCTAGTACACATTGAACGGAGCCGGGCAGCTCACAGGATGAGAGGAGTTGTCATCCAAAACATCTGGAGGAGCCTTCATATTACATATTATGTGCCATATTGTGCCTTGCCATTCTGTTAAAAGCATGATGCTTCCCTGGTTCTTAAGCAGCATTTAATAAATGTGCTATCCAGCCAAGCACTCCATGATTTTGGAAGGCTAGCACCATATTTCATATTAAGCTTTGATGATGGTTTCAGAGTGCCACAAATACCAACAGCTACACTGCTTATTTGGAGAGCATCTAAAGCTTAATTATTTGGTGGGAGTGCAGATACAGCTGTTATGGGCAGTACCCATTCACTACACCTCAAGATTTTAACTCCTTGGAGTTGCAAATTGCAGGTGATGGTATCACACTAGGAAATAATAATTGAAAGAAGCGTTCTGTAGTGAAGTGGGTGCTATCTACTTTCATAAAAACAGTTTGTCTCATAGCAAGAACTGCACAAGGAAGTGTGCAACACATTTGGAGCAGCTGTATTCTTAGGTGTGCAAGAGTGTGTAAAGGCAAGGATAGGGCAATAAATAGACAAGTGAGGCCTGTGTTCAAACCATCATGAACTTTACTAAGTGACCTCAGGCAGAGTTTCCATATCTTAGACTAACCTACCTCACAGGGTATAAGTGAAAGGTGTATGGGGACCAGAGGAAGACCCATGTCTGCTGCTCTCAGATCCTCAGAGGAAAACATTAAAAAAAAGTAAGAAGTCTATAAATGCAATCTGAAAGGTGTACTCCGAGGCTGGTATCGTAGAGGAGTCTTGGGATGTGTTGTGCCTCCTTTTGGGTGATGAAATGTCTCAGGCAGAGGTCTATGAGGAGCAGAGAATCTGAGTCACTGTTAAAAATAATCAAGGCTCCCCCCCCCCAATCTACCTTTGGCTACACTACACGACCCCAAAATGGCATCATGGCAACTAGGAAGCAGAGCTGTTGTATAGGCAAGCTGAGGGGCTGGTGCTATGACTGGCCAAGGATTTGTTGGAAGGGACAAGGGAAAACTTTCCTTTAGCTTCCAGTTGTTCGGTCCAGAAAGTAATCTGTTAAATTGCTACACATCTTTGCCTTTCAGTAGCAAACATCCAGACAAACTTCCTTCCTCTTCCATTCCTGCTGTTGCTGACACCCATCCTATCCCTCTATTGTTCAGCCTGATGTTGTACACAAGTGTCATAAGAAAACATGATCGCTAGATCTGGGGTGTGGCAGCCTCTGGAAGCAGGTATACTTGATAGGTGACCCGCATGCCCATCCCAGCTGACATGGCAGCCAGGTGTCGACATACTGAAAATGATTTAGTTTCTGCACTTGCTTGGGTCTAGTCTCTGCAAGCAGTTTCTCTTTTCTTTCCTGCCCAGCCACTGCAACCTTGATAACCACTTCAACACCACAATCGAAGAGCATGCCAATTAACCTCTGCATTTAATGAAAATGGGACCTAGCTTTTCTTTGAGCAAATGTTTTGTGTATGGGGGACGGGCTCCGAGGACAGCTGCATTTATTTACCTGGAATGTTTTTTTCCTCCAACAGCCCTATTACCATATTTAAATGCAAGTATGTCTCTCTTAATTCATATTTTGCAGTAGTTTAGAGACACTTTAGCCTCTCACTTCTATTCAGTTTTTCCCTGTTAGCAATACATGTAGCTATGGTGATAGAACTAGAGCTAGCAGGCTTGTAGTTGGCTGAGTTCTTTGGATCTCTTTTTCTCTCATCTTTTCCTCTGCTTTCCGAATCCTCTTTTTATTTTCTTTGCCTCTGGCCTCCATATGGTTGTCTTCATAATGAAGAACTATGAGCGGCGTAATCACTGGCTAAGAGTGCCTCCTGTCTTTTGTCATCACAACCAAAATTGGCAATACAAATTAGAGTTCTCCAAAGCTCACCTCAAATTAACTCTGAAATTACTTGAGTTCTTTGGGAAAAAATGGAAGGAACTTGGTTGATTTTTCTGAGCCACTCTGAGGGCTCAGAGAAATTATTGGCCTTTCTGTCTTCTCCTTCCCCACATGCTCCCAGTTTCATGATCTTCATTTTGAAGTACAGTGGTACCTCGCAAGACGAACGCCTCGCAAGACAGAAAACCCGCTAGACGAAAGGGTTTTCCGTTTTGGAGGCGCTTCGCAAAACGAATTTCCCTATGGGCTTGCTTCGCAAGACGACAGCCCATAGGGAAATCTCCGGGACAGCGGGGAAGCGCAGCGCGTCTTCCCCGCTGTCCTCGGACCTCCTCCGAAGGCTGGCGGCGGGGCGGGGACAGCTCCTCCCGCCGCCGCCGGGCTTCGGAACGATGCCCCAATGCCGGGCGGCGGGCGGGAACGCCTCCCCCCGCCGCCCGCCATCGGGACCATGCCCCGATGCCGGGGGGCGGACGGGAACGCCTGCCCCCGCCATCGGGACCATGCCCCGATGCCGGGCGGCGGGGACGGGGCGGGGCATGGTCACCGCCGCCGGCGTTTAAAAGCACTCTGGGGAAAGCAGCGAAGCGCGCTGCTTTCCCCGAGCATCGGGAAGTCCGGCGGGGGTCCTTGGGATTCCCTCCGCGCTTTGTTGCTTTCCCCGGAGTGCTTTTAAATGCGGGCGGCTGGGGGGGGAATCCCTTGGACCCTCGCCGGACTTCAAAAGAGCTGCGGGAAGTCCGGGGGGTCCAAGGGATTCCCTCCCCACCGCCCACCTTTAAAAGCACTCCGAGGAAAGCAGCAAAGCGCAGCGCGCTTTGTTGCTTTCCCCGGAGTGCTTTTAAACGCGGGCGGCTGGGAGGGAATCCCTTGGACCCTCGCCGGACTTCAAAAGAGCTTCGGGAAGTCCGGCGGGGGTCCAAGGGATTCCCTCACCGCCGCCCACCTTTAGAAGCACTCGGGGAAAGCAGCGCGCTTCGCTGCTTTCCCCAGAGTCCTTTTAAACGCAGGCGGCAGTGAGGGAATCCCTTGGACCCCCTCCGGACTTCCCGCAGCTCTTTTGAAGTCCGGTGGGGGGAGAAGGGCTTTTCTTCCTACCGCCAGCCTTCAGAACAGCCTACTGAAGGCTGGCGGTGGGAAGAAAAGCCCTTGTCCCCCCACCCAGCCTTCAGAAGAGGTCGGGGGACAGACTGTCCCCGGACCTGGTCTGAAGGCGGTTTCCCTAGGAACGCATTAATTGATTTTCAGTGCATTCCTATGGGAAACCGTGCTTCGCAAGACGAAAAACTCGCAAGAAGAAAAAACTCGTGGAACGAATTAATTTCGTCTTGCGAGGCACCACTGTAATGGTAGCAGCAGTGAAAGCAGACCAACATGTTAGCTAACAACCTACCGGCCCATGGGGAACTGTGACAGATGTAGTTCTCTGAAGAGCCACTGCCCTCATTTAAGATCAAATATGGGTGGGTATATGGATTCTGTAGGGGCAAGGCAACTACATCTCCTATGCTGTCTTCTTCCCCAGAAGGCTGCTCCAACTGGATGGCAGAAGTAATGAGAGAGGGTGAAAACTCTCTCTTCTCTTCACTCCATGTACTTGCAACTTTTGCTGCTGCTGCTGCTGCTACAACTTCAGTGGCTGAAGTGGATTTAGGGCAGCACAACCGGTTCCCCCACACAGGGCGCCAAGCTGAGGGGGAGCCTTCCAGCCTCCTTTCCAAAGCCTAGTAAGTGCTTGCCCAGCTTTGGGAAGGAGACAGGAGGACTCTGGGACCCTGCCAGGACCCTCCTGCCTCCTTCCCAAAGCCAGGCACCTCACCTACCAGATTTTGGGAAGGCGGCACAAGGGCAGTGTCAAATTTTGGCCTCGCCCAAGGCATCGTATTACCAAGATCCACTTCTTTCAGTGGAAGGGAAGGGAGGAGAGTGTGTTCTGAGATGGCTGGCAGGAATAGGCAGGAGAGAAGCAAGCTCACATTCTGATTAAAGCCAGGGGGCAAATTGAGGGCTTTTAAAAGCTCGCCCCTCATTTGAGCTTGTTTCTGAACCCAAGCTCAGAGGACTGCAGCAGCATCCCTGGACAAAATTTGACAAAGGGCAGAAAACCCTCCCAGCATCTCCTTGTCCCTGCAGCCCGGGGCATCTTTGATTACCAGCTCCTTATTGCTTTTGAGAAGCTCCTTCTCCTCAATGGTGGCTGGTCCCTGTTGTGCAGCCCCAGCTGCTGTTCTACAGGTCCTTGACTTGACTGTCAGCACTTACAGACTCTTGGCTTGTAGAATTGCCTTCCTCACAACCTTCTGCCCTGCCCTATCTCAGGGTAGCCATATTCAGGAGTCTTCCTCATTCACATCTAAGCAGGGCACTGGACCAGCTCTAGGTATGAGAGGAACCCTCAGCAATGATGGGCCTTTTGGGCTCCCTCCCACATCAATGACCTCCCTGTAGCCTTACCTGGTGGCAGCGACACACAGCAGCAGCACTCTGATGAGTACCAGGCAGTTGTGTCTGGGGGAGCTTCCATTTTTGTTTCCCACAGTGCCCCTTCCATAGCCTCCATTCAGAGCATTGTGGAGGGTTAAAAGGATGTCCCTCACTCAGCAGACTTCCATATATATAGCTGCCAGAGTGTGCTTTGTATTGATGCTGGACCTGGTGGGGGCTTTGATGTTCATTGCAAAAGAGTGCAGGGCTTGGCAGGAGTTGAAGCTTGCTTCCTCCCCCCCGCCACACTCATCCCTTCAAGCACTTTTCTCCTCCAGCCCAAACCACTGAACCTAAGGCTCACCGCCTGCCTTCTGCTTTGACCCGGGAGTTTCATTTTGTGCTGCTTCAATGGAAGATCCACTCACATGTTGATTTTGAATTTTTGCACAAAATAGGAAGGAATATAGGCTCTGCTTTGGCAGGACCACTGGCTGCCCATTCACAACCGTGCTGAATTGCTCTGAATTTCTCCATTATTATGTCCCATGGGCAGCTGCCACTTTTACCTTGCAGGAGAAAGGGAATGGCATCAAAGCGCTTCCACTCTTAAGACCCACCCAAACTCCTCTGCAGTCAATGCTCTCTCATAAATACACACACACAGTTGTTCCCACTCATACTCGCCCTTAACCTGCCTCTTTTGTTGTGGCCGTTGTAAACACTGGCTGTCCGTTGCACCTTTCCTCTTATCCCTTCTTGTTTTTCCCCACGGCCAGGTTTTCCGGCAGCAGCCTACGGACCAGTAGCAGCGGCAGTGGCAGCAGCAAGAGGATCAGGTAGGGGGGGCCGTGGAAGAGGCGGCTACATGGCATACCTTCAGAATGCAGGGCCAGGTAAAAGCTCTGTTGGTATTCTATGTGGCTGCAGCTGTCCATCCCTTTCTCTGACTTTTCTCACAGTAATCTGGGGGTGCGGGGATACCCACCAAACAAAACCAAATACTACAAGCAGAGCCCATAAGACTCAGAGCAGAGCATAGGCTGTAAGACCAGATGGTCTTTGCGGATCCATCCAGTACAAAGTCCACCCTACTGGGAGCTGTCAACTGGACCTTTTATGAAAATGTCAAGGACAACAAAAGTTTTCATTTCTCCACAGTTTGCACTGGGCTAACAACGCAACCACACTCACACCCACATATACACACACCTGTTAATTCCTCAACTTGTTAGGGCAGCAACCTGCATCTCCAACTTCCAACTTTAATGTTTGGGGCGAATGCAGTGAGTAAGTTACTCTCAGTGGTGGCCCAATCCAAAGCAAGAAACCACATATCCATTAATATCAGCAAGGATTCCAAATTATGGTGTTTAGGAATGCTCTATCAAACTTTGATCTATGGAGGGTACCATGATCAACCTCCTACAAATCAGCTTAGCATTCAGCTATTTAGTAAGTTCCGTTTATTCATCTGTCTCTTGAGAAAAGGGAACTATAGTGTGTGTCCCTGCCCTTTGAAATAGTGGCACTCCAGATCTGGCCAATGCGAACAGGTCTAGTATTATACAGAATAGGGTGAGCAGTGCAGTTTGCCTTCTCTCGGGCCATTTTTAGGTGCCAAGTCTGGTCAGCTGGACCTGGATGCTAGAAAAATAGTTCTCCCCAGTTACTTCGTAGTTCAGACATCTCACTAAAATATGGTTGGGGTGCTTAAGCATGGTTCTGGTGTGATGTTTGAATTGACAAAACCATAGTTTGCAATTGGCCAACAAACCAGAATCTGATACAATGACAGAAGTTGATTTACAAACTGGATTTTGTGCTAACTCTGGTTTGGTGTGATATTGATAGCCATTGTTTGACCTCCAGAAGCTGTACCAAAAGGGAGATGAGAGTGATTTGATGGACTTAGGAAGCTGAGTGGCAGAATACAACAGCAGACAAGCTGTTTTAAACTATGGTCTGCTAGTATGTTTGGAAGCTCATACCAAGGTTTTGGTTCTAAACTAGGGTTAGCACAAACGGCGACATGGCATGATGTCTAAATTGCACCATAGTTTGAAGTCAGTTGAAGTTTTAGGAGTGCAACCTAAATCAGGGGTGTTCCACCTTGGCATAAATTGGAATGGCTCTCTGAAGAGTATAACCTTTTGCAGACATCTTTAAAAATACTTTTTGCTCTTTGAGCGTGAATATTGTTCCATCTTTTGTTACCTGCTGCAAACTCTGGCTCCAGTTTCATGGGAAATGTGTGCCCACCTATAAAAAGCTCCACTTCCTTCCACTCTGTTCTCCAGTGCCCCTCCTGCTAGGGGAAGTAGTTAAGCCGCTATTATATCCTAGCATTCCAATTTAGGGGAAAGTGAATTATCCCTTTGGCATAATTGAGTGAAATCATGAGTGGGCTGCTAAGACTTACCAGTGCCTCTCTTTTGCTGTATTTGCTTGTTGGCTGATACCTTGGTTGTGCCTGAAGCCATTCTGAACCCTAAATACAAAGCAAGGACAAAGGGTAGACTGCTGCTTTCAGTGGGTTTTATTGCTCCCCAATCTATCTTGCTTGCTCATCTCTGTGTACTGTCTTGTGCGTTTATCCGACCGTTTGTTCTTGCTAATATTAACTGGGTTATTGCACTGGGGGTGGCGGTGGGGGCAATTGGAGACAACACGATTGGGCCCAAATTCCCCAGCCAGATTGTACACGTTGAGACATGTAGCAAACAACTTGGAGGTAACTGTTTTATTCAGCTCTCTCATGATGAAGCTTGTTCTTTGACATGAAAATTTCTACACTCGTTAGCTATAGGCCTCTTCAAACTGACACAAAACAAAAGGTCCCGGGGGGGGGAGTGCTGTCAAGCAGCAACACACACAACCGTAATAGACTTTGGCGGGGGTGGGGGGGAGACTGAATTCTTTAGGGTCCAAAGTGGGATGTTTGGAGAACTCCGTTCCATGCAAACTGGCACTGCTTGCGGGGCTACAAAGGATTCATCCGTAGCAGTTTATCGTTGTAGGTAGGGAAAGTCCAAGGGTTGGTTTGCTCAAAGATAGCAAAGGGATTTCCCCCCCCCCCCTTTACTTTTTAAAATCCTTTTCTGAAAAGGATTCCATTTATTATTTGAGGAAGAATGGACAGATTCCCTCTTCCCTTACCTGCACTTTGGGCCCATTTGGTTCCGGTTTAATTTTAAATAGAGAGGATCATTTTTCCCACAGAAAGGACAAGGGTTCTGCCAGATTAAGTCTGATCTTCACTGTTGTCCTGTTTTAATCAGAGTGTCCCATCACAGCTGAACCTGAGTGTCAGCCAATTTCTCTGCTTGATATCATTTGGTTGGTTTTTTTGTTTTTTGTTTTTGTTTTTAATTTTTTTGGATTTTTTTTTCTTTTTTAAAGAACAGATTAACTTTGTGATACCAAAAAAGAAAAAAAAGAAAATTCTAACCCTGAAATTAACACCAACATATATGGCAAGTTTAAAGAGCAGTATGGTGCCCTGTATATATTTCTTGTCTGTTTTTGAAAAAAAATCTCTGCACTTGCAGATCTACCCTAGTGCTCCCTCAAGGAAACTGTCTGTTGATGTGCAGAAGTGGTTTCCATTGACAAAGAAGCCTTTTCGGCTCAGGGAGAGCATTCCATTTGCAGCCATTTCCATCAAAGGGAATAGCATTGATAGTGAAGTGTATTTAAGAGCAATGGAGTCAGCTTCATGTTAATGGCACTCAGGCCTGATTCATTACAGAAGGGGAATGACAAATGGAAGTAATTGGCTTCAATATTTTGATGATTAGAGCAATATCACTCGGGGCACACTTGCAAGATGACTTAAGTGACTACTAAAGCGAAGACACACCTGTGTCGTAAGATGTACGAATGTTAAATGTCTAAACCACAAGACATCAGTTCAGTGTATATTTATTGATCTCTCACTGCTGAACAGATTTGAGGGGGGGGAGGTCTGCACCCCTGCGGAAGTTTGTAGTTGGGCCCTGTGATTGCAGCACTGCCGTACACACAATTATTATTATTTATTAAAAGAGTATACCACCCTATACTCTCAGGGTGGTTCATAACATAAGAATTTGTGTGTTCATGGATCTTTAAACCACACTTCATAAGGCTGGCTGTTGGATGTAGAGAATTCTGTCCTTACTCCCCACTCTGGCCTCTTGGCACTCTACTAATTACAATCCACAGGCAGGTGACCCCTCCCTGGAGCAAGGGCCTATGCTTTTAATTTTGGCAGGGAAACATTTATTTTATTTTTATTTTTTATTTACTAAATTGCTATACTACCTTTCAATCCGAGGATCACAGGGCGATATTAGCCTGGGAGTTGGGGCTGTATGTTTCTTCGTTCATATTTATAGAAACATTTATATACCTCCTTTCAGCCCTGAAAGGTCCCCCAAGGCAGGTTACAACAGTGAAAACACTTCTGTAATTACAACTGGAGAGCATTGAGAGAAGCCAAGATAAAGCAAATGAAGCCAGCCTCCCAGCAGGCCACAACACGAACTAAAAGTTTGGCAGGAAAAAGAATGTATTGGCCGCCGCCTACCTGAATGGCATTGTAGAAGGGGCCTATCTTATCTCCTTTGGGAGGGAGTTCCGCAGCTGTGGGACTATCACCAAAGAGGCTCTGCCTGGTAACCGTCATGGGCAGTGCCCATGTGCCAAACGTTAGCCAGACCATTATTAAAACCACGCAATTGTTGAGGACATTGCAACCCTCCATATAAGCCAAGCCTTTACACCCACCTTGACAACATTTCACTTTCCGCTTATTATGTTACTGATGAATCAGGACCTGGGTCACATTGGCATGACGGTCTGCATCTTGTAACAAACTCTTCCAATGCACAAGTTTCACTATCAATACCACATTTCTGTTACGATTCCGAGCATGTATGGATTTCGTGGGCAGGCTTCCCCACTCAGTTTGATGGAGGTGGCAGCTTGATGCACATACCTTTTTGCCTGTTGGCAAAATCCACTTATAGGGAAGGGAGCCATTGGGGCAGAGCTTACTGGAAAGGTATTGATGGTTTGAGGTGATTTTTTTCCTCTGGCATATTTAAAGCACCAGTGTTTAGGGTGCCCTCTCCCCCCCCCCCAGTTCAGACACTCAGCCAAGCATCGTCAGCAGTCCATGAAGTGGGTGGGTGCCCTTCTCCTCCCCCATGGGGGAGCTCTGTGTATCCAATGCCCTGATTCATGCAATTCTTCCTGCATTGGGCCATCATGCATACAGGCCCCTGCATGGAGCACCCCTCACACGCTTTATTTGGATAGATGGTGGAAGACCACCATGTCCGTTCTTCTACCGTGTTAATAGTACACTGAGCCGATTTCACCCTTTCCTGAAAATGCTGTTTGCTTCTTCATTTCACAAAGGTGAAGTTGGGGAGCGGGGTTAATTCAGGGTTTTGCTTTGTTTTTTAAAGGAATATAAAATTTGGCAATTAAAATGCATTAGCCAGATAGTTCTGTGGCTTTAGTTTCTTCCCTTGTGGCTGGAAAATGAGATGGCCAGTGATTCTGTTGCTTGGCCGTGGGGAGGCACCAAAGTCTACTTGCTTGACCACTTGTGAGTGACTGCACTAAGAACCAAGTGGTAAAACCCCTGAACAGAAAGATCCCCCAGAGTTCCTTCTTGCTCCCCTCCACCTTGGCCAGAGTCCTGCTCCTACTTCTGAAATCCTGAGTTCACCAGTTCCTTACTGTCCTTTATACTTGCCAGCTATAACCAATCTCATAACATGAGCTACTGACCTTGATGGTGAGTGTGAGCAGTTATGTTCTTGTTGTTTTCTCTCTTGCTTGGTTGGGGCTGCTGTGAGAGAGGGTGTCTCTGAGGCATTCTTTCCGGCCTCTCTTACACTGGGACGTGCACTCCTCTCAAACACTCTTCTGAGCACGCTCAGCAGGAAGGTTTGTCCACACCTATTAATCCTCTCTCTGTGTCCAGCTTCTTGTTAGTAGCAGCTGGTTGCATGTTTTTTTTGCTTGTTCAGATGAAACGGTTTAAGAAACGACTCATATCCAACTCTTGAAAAATGTCTCTCTCTCTCTCTTTCTCTCTCTTTTTAAAAATATATATTTATTTTTGTTTATTTTAGTACACTTTCTCTCTTTTGGTTTTTTTAAAAATTACTTTCCCTTACTTAATAAAACAAAACACTTGTTGTTCGTGAAACATCTCACATCTCCCCTTGCCTGTTCTTAGAGTGTTATGTATCTGTGGGACTGAACTAAATGCATGCACTTGTCGTAGTTGTAACCGGTAGCAGTAGACGTAGTTGTAGAACATGCATTGTTGAGTTGATATTATAGGTTCTTGTCGGCTCGAAAGAGCATGGCAGTTGCAGTGTAGCCGCGGTTTGATTGGAAGTGTAGGTCAACCTGTGTAGAGCAATGCTGAACACCTGGATGCATAGTACAGTGATCATTATCTCCCAAACTTGGGCCTACCAAATTCAATCAGGACATTTTATTATTCTGCAAGGGCCCTTGGTGGTCTGGCAGGGGGTAGTCAATTGACCGTTGTAAAAGAAAAAAAGTGACCCTTCTTTTAATTCTAAATACACTTACTTGTGAGTAGTTCCCACTTAAGCCAATGGGAGTTACTCATATGTAAGTGCTTTATGATTTGAGGCCAAGTTTAATTTCAGCAAGCATTGTACACTCAAGGCTTCCTACAGAACATTAACCTTCTTAATATTCTGCATTAGCGCTCCGAATCCTTTTTGGAGGCCTTAAACCAGGCCGGCAGAGCAGGAAAGCCGTCCATTGGAGACCTAAGTCATGGAGAGTATGTACAATGACTAACCGTCAGAGTATGCAGAGGCACAAGGGAATTGGTTTTAGATCCTAAAGTGCAAATTTGGCTACGCCACAAACTTGCCACTGTTTGTATTCATTCCCACATTGCCAAGTTTTAGGATAATGTTTTGGTTTTTCCTCCCCTCAAGCACTACTGAACATTTCATGAACAGTCAATATTAGGTGTCCCAAGGCAAGTCTCATCATCTTCCTCATCAAACCAGCAAAATCGTCTTTTGCTTCTTCTCCCTCCCTGCATTTCTTTCTTTCTTTCTTTTTTGCACCTAGTTTTCTGTACTCAGCTTCTCAAAATTGTTTTCCAAATGAGCAGCAGTGGGTAGGGTTGGCAGCTGGTAATTCAAGTCCTGAATGCCACATTACATTTGGTTTGTGGCTGCTACTGTTTTGTCAGCACATATCCTGCTGAGAGTAGATTGCGTACATCACCGTTCCCCTCCCACCCAGTTCGACATCTTGCCTGAAGATGCACTGCTGGTTTGGAGTGTGTTCAATTTACCGAGCATGCTCAGTGTAGACGGTTAAATCCAAGCAGTTAACTCAGCATATGTTACTGGAAGAAATAAGGTACGCTAAATATTGTTTCATTGTGCAGTTAAGAAGATTGTTCTAACAGATCGTAAAACATACGCCCCTCCACATGTTGTTGACCCAGAGGACAAGTACATACCCTTCATTGATTGAAGGTGTCCCACTTCCCTTATTGCGCCAGTATAGTTGTAAATCTTACGCACTTGAGGTATGATTATATAACTTGTCTCTTAAACAGCAAATCTACTACAAGGAATGGGGCCCACTGTTAAATGTGTGATGCAGGAAAATTAGA